AGATAGTTCAAGCCGTGATTTGTCATAATTGTGATGATTATGGCTTACAGCTCATGAAAACCCCAAATCCACAATCTCAGAAAATTAGAATATTGTGAAATGGTGCAATATTCTAGGCTCAAAGTGTCCCACTCTAATCAGCTAATTAAACTATAACACCTGCAAAGGGTTCCTGAGCCTTTAAATGGTCTCTCAGTCTGGTTCAGTAGGAATCACAATCATGGGAAAGACTGCTGACCTGACAGTTGTGCAGAAAACCATCATTGATACCTTCCATAAGGAGGGAAAGCCTCAAAAGGTAATTGCAAAAGAAGTTGGATGTTCCCAAAGTGCTTTATCAAAGCAGATTAATAGAAAGTTATGTGGAAAGGGAAAGTGTGGAAGAAAAAGGTGCACAAGCAGCAGGGATGACCACAGCCTGGAGAGGATTGCCAGGAAAAGGCCATTCAAAAGTGTTGGGGACTTTCACAAGGAGTGGACTGAGGCTTGAGTCAGTGCATCAAGAGCCACCACACACAGACGGATCCTGGACATGGGCTTCAAATGTCGTATTCCTCTTGTCAAGCTGCTCCTGAACAACAAACAACGTCAGAAGCGTCTTACCTGGGCTAAAGAAAAACAGACCTGGTCTGTTGTTCTGTGGTCCAAAGTCCTCTTTTCTGATGAGAGCAACTTTTGCATCTCATTTGGAAACCAAGGACCCAGAGTATGGAGAAGGAGTGGAGAGGCACACACTACAAGGTGCTTGAAGTCCAGTGTGACTTTTCCACAGTCTGTTGATTTGGGGAGCCATGCCATCTGCAGGTGTTCGTGCACTGCGCTTCATTAAGTCCAGGGTCAACGCAGCCGTCTACTAGGAGATTTTGGAGTACTTCATGCTTCCTTCCGCAGACGAGTTTTATGGGGATGCTGACTTCATTTTCCAGCAGGACTTGGCACCTGCCCACACTGCCAAAAGCACCAAAACCTGGTTCAATGACCATGGGATTACTGTGCTTGATTGGCCAGCAAACTCGCCTGACCTAAACCCCATAGAGAATCTGTGGGGCATTGCCAAGAGAAAGATGAGAGACATGAGACCAAACAATGCAGAAGAGCTGAAGGCCACTATTGAAGCATCCTGGTCTTCCATAACACCTCAGCAGTGCCACAGGCTGATAGCTTCCATGCCACGACGCATTGAGGCAGTAATTGCTGCAAAAGGGGCCTAAACCAAGTACTGAGTACATATGCATGCTTATACTTTTCAGAGGTCTGATATTGTTCTATGTACAATCCTTGTTTTATTGATTGCGTGTAATATTCTAATTTTCCGACATCGTGGATTTGGGGTTTTCATTAGCTGTAAGACATAATCATAAGAATTATGACAAATCACGGCTTGAACTATCTTGTTTTGCATGTAATGAGTTTATCTCATATATTACTTTAACCTTTTAAGTTGCTTTACTGAAATAAATGGACTTTTGCACGATATTCTAATTTTTCGAGTTTCATTTGTGTGTGTGTGTGTGTGTGTGTGTGTGTATATGTATGTATGTATGTATGTGTATATATATATATATATATATATATATATATATATATATATATATATATATATATATATATATATATATATATATATATATACACACACACACACACACACACACACACACACACACACACACACACACACTTGCAAGAAAAAGTATGTGAACCCCTTGGGATTACGTGGAGTATTGCATGAATTGGGCATAAAATGTGCTCTGAACGTCATCTAAGTCACAACAATAGAAGAACACAGTCTGCTGAACATAATACTACACAAACATTAGATGTTGCCTTGGTTTAATTGCACATAACATGTAAACATTCACAGTGCAGGGAGGAAAAAGTATGTGAGGCCCTAGCTTAATGACTTCTCCCAGAGCTAATTGGAGCCAGGAGTGAGCCAACCTTGACTCCAATCAGTGTGATGATATTGGATGTGTTGCTGACAGCTGTCCTGCCCTTAAAAAACACACACCTGTTTTGGGTTTACTGGTTTCAAGAAGCACTGTCTGATGTGAACCATGCCTCGCAGAAAAGAGCTCTCAGAAGACCTACGATCAAGAATTGTTGACTTGCATGAAGCTGGAAAGGGTTACAAAAGTATCTCCAAAAGCCTTGATGTTCATGTGTCCACGGTAAGACAGACTGTCTACAAATGGAGAAAGTTTAGCACTGTTGTTACTCTCCCTAGGAGTGGTCGTCCTGTAAAAATGACAGCAAGAGCACAGTGCAGAATTTTGCATGAGGTAAAGAAGAATCCCAGAGTGTCAGCTAAAGACCTACAGAAATCTCTGGCACATGCTAACATTTTTGTAGACACATCTACAATAAGGAAAACATTAAACAAGAATGGAGTACATGGGAGGACACCACGGAGGAAGCCATTGCTGTCCAAAAAGAATATTGCAGCACGTTTGAAGTTTGCAAAAGAGCACCTGGATGTTCCACAGCACTACTGCCAAAATATACTGTGGACAGATGAAACCAAGATTGCGTTGTTTGGGAAGAACACACAACACTATGTGTGGAGAAAAAAAGGCACAGCACACCAACATCAAAACCTCATCCCCACTGTAAAACATGGCGGAGGGAACATCATGGTTTGGGGCTGCTTTGCTGCCTCAGGGCCTGGACAGATTGTTGTCATTGATGGGAAAATGAATTCCAGAGTTTATCAAGACATTTTGCAGGAAAACGTACGACCATCTGTCCGCCAACTGAAGCTCCGCAGAGGATGGGTGATGCAACAGGACAATGACCCAAAGCATGCAAGTAATTCAACAAAACAATGGCTGCAACAGCACAGAATACGCCTTCTGGAGTGGCCCAGTCAGAGTCCTGACCTCAACCCGATTGAAATGCTGTGGCATGACCTTAAGAGAGCGATTCACACCAGACATCCCAAGAATATTGCTACACTGAAACAGTTTTGTGAAGAGGAGTGGTCCAAAATTACTCCAGATCGATGTGCAGGTCTGATCTGCAACTACAGGAAACGTTTGGTTGAGGTTATTGCTGCCAAAGGAGGGTCAACCAGTTATTAAGTCCAAAGGTTCACATACTTTTTCCTCCCTGCACTGTGAATGTTTACATGTGATGTGCAATTAAACCATGGCAACATCTAATGTTTGTGTAGTATTATGTTCAGCAGGCTGTGTTCTTTTATTGTTGTGACTTAGATGACGTTCAGAGCACATTTTATGCCCAATTCATGCAAAACTCCACATAATCCCAAGGGGTTCACATACTTTTTCTTGCAACTGTGTGTGTGTGTATGTGTATATATATATATATATATATATATATATATTTATATTTATTCATTCTACTTTTTAATTAATATCCTGAATTTAAATGAATATGAATTCATTTTTCAACACCAATTTTTTTGACCAAAAGGCACACTGAACAGTTTTTGAAGCACAAGAACAGCTCAAGAAAAATGCATCCCTTTAAATTCAATGTATTTGCATCTGCATTTTTCGTGCAAAAAAAGAAAAAAAAAACCCGCTAAAAACGCACTTCCCCGTTGAGGCCTAGTTCACACCAGTGTGGGTTTTTTTGTGCTTTTTGCAGAAACGCACTACAGTCCATTTAACATGGTTTCCTATGGGACACGTTCACATCTATGCTTTTTTGAGCTGCTGCATTTTTGGAAAAGGTCAGGGACTTTTTTAAATGTAAAACGTTGGGTTTTTGCTTCAATAGACTTCAATGGAGATGCTGCAGTTAATGCATGTAGTGCGTTTTTGACACCTTTATGCGTTTTTGACCCGTTTTGATGCTTTTTTAAATCTGCCCAGCAACAAGTTGGCCCAAAAAAAGAAAACCACAAAAAAAAGCCTGAAAAAGGTAAAAAAAACGTGTGTGCAAAAATTACTGCAAAACAAACAAAATGCACACTGCATTGGTGTGAACCAGGCCTGAAATGTATTAAAAATGGTCATGCAACCTATGATAAACGCGCTACAAATGTGATAAAATCGTGGGTGTAATCTTGGGTAAAATCGCATATTTTGCGGCGCCATTATCAGCACCTCTTTTCTATTGTCAAAATGCAGATAACACTTTTTTCGTCCAATACATTTCAGCCGATACAATTCGGCCACCGATATATCAATGAATCCCTAGTAAAAATCTTACCATATTTCTCCTTCAGGAATTTTTGAGTTTCACTTTAATAAGAACTAAATATATGTGGGCCTTTAAATTACTTGTGCTAAAAAAACCTAATTAATGTATATATTGCTTTTAAATATACTTTTTCAAAATTTAGCTTCTGTACTATGCCAAGAGGGCTGGCAAAGTCTTTATGTAAGAGTACATATAAAGTAACATGCACTCATGGGAAAATCAGGGTTCTGCTCTTGAGCTGCCTACAGCTCATGCAGGAACAGAGTAGCTTGCTGCTGCCACTTAAATTCTGACTGCTCTGAACCTGCACATGCTCAGAGCTCACAGCTTCCGTCAGCCTAGAGATCGGTGAGTGGGAGCTCACCAGTCTTTCCTGCTTTCCATCCTAATTCAGATGGGCCAGGAGAGCCTGAGCTTCATGAGGGGGGATTTCAAAGAGGTAGATTTGTTTGCCTACAATATAACCCTAGTGAAAACATTTTCAATGATGAATTGTCCCCTTTGTTGACAGGACATGACCTTTTTTTATCATCACACAAAATGCTGCAAGTTTGATGATATTGATCAAGAATATGCTTGTGTTTTCTCCATTTCAGAACCACTGCCACAAGTGGTTCCCATTCGGCCAACTGAGTGCACACCTGTTCCTCTTGTGCAACCCTTACAGTGCCCCATCTTACGCCAGGATCACAGTAGCTTTGCTGCTAGTTTACGAGAGCTGGAGAAGGTAAAGCGTGTTTCTGGCCAGCTTTTAACATGCCCTTTGCATTAAATGTTGGGTATAACTAATTATTTCTCTCTCCCTGCAGTGTGGCTGGTATTGGGGACCCATGAACTGGGAGGACGCAGAGATGAAGCTGAAGGGGAAACCTGATGGCTCATTCCTAGTAAGAGACAGCTCTGATCCCCGCTATATCCTGAGCTTAAGCTTTCGCTCACAGGGCATCACTCACCACACACGCATGGAGCACTATCGAGGTGAGGATATGCATTTTAAAACTCTGTTCATAGAAGCAGCAGGAAAGCATTGTTTTAGAATGTCATATGTTTAAAAAAATTACTTTGTTTAAATAGTTGTTACTTGGTAAACACCTAAGCTCCGGAAGATTTTACCCCCTACGTAACCAGGCCATTTTTTGCTATATGGGACTTTGCTAATTTAACTGGCAATTGCACAGTCATACAACACTGTACACAGATGAAATTTGTCATTTTTTTTCACACAAATAGAGCTTTCTTTTGGTGGTATTTTGTCAACACTGTTTTTTTTTTTATTCATTATATGAACAAATAGCGTAGCTTTTGAAAAAAAAAATATTTTTTACTTTGTTATAAAACATTCAATAAAAACTTTTTTTTAAAAATCGAATTTCTTCATAAATTCGTGCCACAATGTATTCTGCTACATGTCTTTGGTAAAAAAAAATCCCAATAAGTGTATATTGGTTTGTGTGAAAACTACAGCATCTACAAACTATGGGATTTATGCTAGAATTTTAGTTCTTTTATACTAGTAATGGCAGTGATTGGCGACTTATAGTGGGACTCTGATAGTGGGCATTCTGACACTAACTGACACTTTGTGGGTGCTGACTAACTGACACTGACATCATTAGTGACACTTTTTACAGTGATCATTGATAATACTATACACTGTCACTGTACTAATGACACTGGCTGGGAAGGGGTTAACAATTAAGGGGAATCAAAGTTTTCTGTGAATTAATAGACTACAAGTACAGTCAGCCCTGTTTGATTGCAAACATTGCAGTGACGCGTATGTTGCCGCAAGTGTGAAGCAGACCTTTTAATTTACACCTTTTTCCCAAGTGAAGGGGTAAAGATGTTTCTTGAAGCTGAGAGTTTACTTTACAATGTAAGCTTTGACCAGAGTGATGCATATCATGTCTCTCCCTTCTCAGGTACGTTCAGTCTCTGGTGTCATCCCAAGTTTGAAGATCGCTGCCAGTCTGTAGTGGAATTTATTAAACGAGCAATTATGCACTCAAAAAATGGAAAGTTCCTGTATTTTCTACGCTCACGAGTACCAGGTCAGTGCTTTGAAAGCTTTTTTTTTTTTTTTTTTTTTTTTTTGAAGATGCCTTTAGACACAAGCAGGCTGTCGGCTATCTGCATTGTTTTTATATGTTCTTATTTAAAGTAGCTCAAAATCTTTTACCTTGTCATTTTATGCCATCTTATGTTATTTCCTCAGATCTACTATTACTTGTCAGACATCCCTCTCTTTTATATTCACTTGTGGTTTAAATGGAGCTATTCTGGAAATAATGAACATATAGAAAACTACCGTATTTGCCGGCGTATAAGACGACTTTTTGACCCTTGAAAATCTTCTCAAAAGTCGGGGGTCGTCTTATACGCCGGTACACATGTTAGGGGGACTGCGGCATTAAGTACAGGGTTTGCAGGGGCTGATGTCTCTCTTACCTGGATCCAGTCCCACGACGATCCGGTCCAGGAAGCGCGGCGTCTCCTTCAGTTCGGCCACTGGATGTTCGTGCGGCTGCTCGGCTCCGCCTCCTCACCGGTGATTGGCCGCCAGAACTGTAGCTCAGGAAAGGCACACAGGCGGCCAATCACCGGCGAGGGGGCGGAGCCGAGCGGCCCCGCGAAAATTGAGTGCCGGAGCAGCAGGTAAGTGTGCTGTGTAGAGGTGCTGCTGCAACCACATATGCTGGCTGCAGCAGCACCATACGAGAACAGGGTCAGCAAGTCTCAGTGGGAGGAATAGTGCCCCATCATTGGTGTCACTGATACCAATGATGGGGCACTATTCCTCCCACTGATACCAACGATGGGGCACTATTCCTCCCACTGACACCAATGATGGGGCACTATTCCTCCCCCCCACTGACACCAACGATGGGGCACTATTCCACCCCCCACTGACACCAATGATGGGGCACTATTCCACCCCCCACTGACACCAATGATGGGACACCATTCCTCCCACTGACATCAATGATGGGACACCATTCCTCCCACTGACACCAATGATGGGGCACTATTCCTCCCACTGACACCAATGATGGGGCACTATTCCTGCCACTGATACCAATGATGGGGGGCACCATTCCTGCCACTGATACCAATGATGGGGCACCTATTCCCCCCACTGATACCAATGATGGGGCACTATTCCTGCCACTGATACCAATGATGGGGCACTATTCCTCCCACTGACACCAATGATGGAGCACTATTCCTCCACTGATACTAATGATAGGGCACTATTCCTGCCACTAATGCCAATGATGGGGCACTATTCCTGCCACTAATACCAATGATGGGGCACTATTCCTCCCACTGACATCAATGATGGGGCACTATTCCTCCCACTGATACCAATGATGGGGCACTATTCCTCCCACTGATACCAATAATGGGGCACTATTCCTTCCACTGATACCAATGATGGGGCACTATTCCTCCCACTGACACCAATGATGGGGCACTATTCCTCCCACTGACATCAATGATGGGGCACTATTCCTCCCACTGGTGTGCATTGGAAGAGGGGTAGTCTTATACGGCGAGTATAGCCCAAACACTACATTTTAGCAGGAAAAGTAGGGGGGTCGTCTTATACGCCCAGTCGTCTTATACGCCGGCAAATACGGTAACCAAATATCTAACAGTAAAGGTTGCTTTAAATTTAAAGGAAGTTTTTAAACTTGTACTCTAGCATCTTATTTGTACAGTAAAGGTTGAGTACTCATAAACCGTGGGTTATAGGCTGGTACTGTCAGGTGGTTGGACACTGGCAAAGAGTTTGAACATTTCCCCTATAACCCTATCCCACTCCATGTCCTAAAGTGATGGTCCACCTCTTCCTTGCGTAGAGATCACTCCTTAATTTAAACACGCAGAGCTTAGTCTTGGGTGGCTGACCAGGTGTTACATCACACCACAGGTTGCACACTTTACCCTGTTCGATAGTCTCAGATATCGAACTAGATATATACTTATTATAGATGTTTAATACAAAGATACAATATTATAATTTAAATATATATATCACAGTAATAGGTGCAGCGCTAATAAATATATGGATATATTATATATACTGTATAATACAATATCAGCAAGTGCAAAATGAATATCACTTAATGGTGATTATTAGTGACTGAACAGTTCAAAGTGATAAAATCGTGTGGATCCTGAGTGATCACAATTTCAGGTGCACGGATGTCTTGGTCCAAAAGTGATAGGTTATGTGACTCAAATGAATGAAATACGCACTCACCAGAAGTGCGTTTAAAATACGCAATATGAAATCCTGCGTCAAGCAATAAGAAGGTCATCTGCTTCCAGGTCAGATCACATCATAAATCACCATCCAGGTACATCAGCGTGTAGGATTCCCTGATCCGTTAGCATGTATCACCCTCTAGGATCATCTTTTGTTGTTGACCTGGAAGCAGATGACCTTCTTATTGCTTGACGCAGGATTTCATATTGCGTATTTTAAACGCACTTCTGGTGAAGATCCTGGTACACAGATATACTCGGACTACTAGGAGAAGACCCCTGGCTTCTTCCTAACACACAGACCTGCTGTATCTGATGGACAAAGGAATCTCTGAGTTTGTCATTCATACTTTGCTGAAAACAAGGAAAGCCACTTCCAGAAAGATTTACTATTGTACCTGTAAATCCTTATCTGACTGGTGTGGACACAGGCCCTTAATCCCAGAGATTGCTCTGTGCCTTGCATTCTGACCTTCCTACAATCAGGTCTTGACCAAATCTTAGCCTTGAAGTGGTATAAACGCAATTTTAAAAAAACGCTGACATGCAGGGTTTTTTATGACAGAAGAGACCCTTTCATAAATGCTCTCCCCACCTGTCAACGGTTATGTACACTGAGCCATGCATGTGCAGCTCATAATACATTTACGCCATCCACTTTTTTGCCATGATGAAGTGACTTTTGTGTGCAATCACAGGAGCAATGTCATAAAGGCCAATTGTTGGGAGTCACTGGAAGATCACTACCAATTTGTGGCACTGTTTTTTGCCCTGGCATCAGCCTTGCGAGTGTACACTCTCCACAAAAGTGTATGCATGGTTCTGGCCATTTTTATTGCTCAGAGACACAGCATTTGCGATATAACTGGATCATATCTTTTGAACAGACTGAAATTTGAAATTATATACATAACGCAATGCTACCTTCAGGAGTTTGGGTGGCCTCTAAATTTTTTGAAAGTTGTCTTTGGTTTCTTCTCCACAGCGTGAGTATCTGGTCCTAGCTCTGGACACCAGGCAAGTAGAAGTTTAGTTACCTTCAGATGCTGCAGGAATATGGAAGACTTCTATGGACTTGTAACTGATCTTCTCTATGTTCCCATAGCAAGGTGTTGGGTCTTATGGCCATTCCTTGGTACATATTTTCATTCAAGGGATGACTTGCCTAGTCCTGCCTATTTGTCCATCCTTTGCTCTGAAGGATCTCAATTGTATACTTTGCGTTTTGCAGAGGCCCTTTTTCGAAAATATTCAGGAGATTCCTTTGTCAACATTGTCTGAAAAGGGGACCACTACCACAGCATGATACAGTTTGCAGCATTGTCTCGCAACATCCTTTTCCTATCCATCACAAGGATAAGGTGGCTGCATTCTAATGTTTTCCTCAGGAGCTGCTTCCTCACTTTCTCTGCACGATCTGGATAGAAAGCATTTAGGTGATCTTCAAAGCCCAGGAGGGGGGTGGTACACCAGCTTAGTACTTCTACTTCTAGACATGCTGTAGGCCCTCCCAGTCTGTATAGATTTACTGCGGCAGGGACCTATCTTCCACCCTTCTCGTTTTTTTATTAAATGGCATGATTGTTGAAATCTGAGGGTCTGAAAGACAGAGGCATTGTTGAGTCTGTCATTCCTAGGATTCAGAAGGTTTGCAAGCCACTTCCTGTAAGGTGTATTATTGTACTTGGAAAGCATATTTTTGGTGCTAAGATTCCAGGGGCTTCACCCCCAGGAGATTTTTCTTTTACAATTATTTTAATATAGACAGCACAACAAAGAAACAGTCAGAGACAAGTTCATTGATACAAAAACGTAAAGTGTACAATTCTGTTAATGAAAGACATAACAAATGCACTGCAATATTGACACGGAGAGAGAAGCGGAGTACAAAAACACAATCTCAAAAGGGATGGAATGGGACCCTATAAATTGCGTTAACAGCAAATAGTAACCAATGAGTCCCAGGAGATTTTTCATGTAACAGATTCTCTTTTCTGTGTGGACTAGTATTTGACACTATCATAGGCCAGCTTTCTTGCAGGCAGCCCTGTGGAAGTTGCACATAGATCTTTCTTGTTGAGCCTATTCGTCTGTACCACTTGGTTATCCACACTTTGTTGGACGTCCCTGTTGTTTTCTAAGAATTCTCAATGGAGGGCAGGGAAAATTTGATTTTTGTACTTACCAGACCCTTTTGAGGCACACATTTCTTACCATTCATATGGGGATTTGCTTTTGGTACTACTAGCTACAAACTGAGCATGGTGCCAGTAAGAGGGGTTATAGCCCTTAGGGCTGGCCTACAGTTTTTCATTCTAGTGTTAAGTCTTCATGTGGGTGGCAGTATAACTCATCTTGTCTAAGAATCCTATCTCCTTCCTGATTTTTCTCTGCTGCTAAAGTAACACCTCCAGTCTCCTCTCTCCACCAGCCTGTGACTGGAGAGTGAAAGAACAGTAATGCAGACTGATGAGCCTCTCGCTCTGCTCTCTGCACCTATCAGTATATTCCTTTATTAGCATATGACCACTACAGTACAGCTGTTTGGATCCTTGCGCTGCCTCTTCTTTTCCCTGTTTATTGGGGAGCGCAAGAGGCTAATGCCTAGTTAAATTCAGGGACTTACACTACTTGCAAAAAAATAAAGAAATCCTATTACTAAATGGAATAGCCCACAAAAATTTGCATGCAAAAGTTGAGAGCTGATCATTACCTCTTGAACTGATCAACACCACTTGGAGAAATCTTCCTATGAAGTCTTCTTAGAAGCCAATATTCCTTTAAGTGTCGTTCTCCTTGTGTGGATCTGTGTCTTCCCGCTGCCCTTGGTGTTTTTCCTGCCCATTGCTGCATCTGTTGTGTTTATACAGGATACAGAATGGAAGTTGGTGCAAGGATGTGTTAAGTGGACCAGAGAGAAACAGGAGATTTACACTCCTGGAACAGTTGTTGTCTACCTAATTGGTTCTTTGTGTTTTTGATACACTATATTGCCAAAAGTATTGGGACAGCCCTTCAAATCATTGGATTTAAGTGTTCCAATCACCTCCATGGTCACAGATGTATAAAATTAGGCACCTAGGCATGCAGACTGCTTCTACAAATATTTGTGAAAGAATAGGTCGCTATCAGGAGCTCAGTGAATTCACGTGTGGTACCGTGATAGGTTGCCACCTAGTCCATCTGTGAAATTTCCTTGCTACTAGATATTCCACAGTCAGCTGTTAGTGGTATTGTAACAAAGCGGAAGCAACTGGGAACAGCAGCAACTCAGATACGAAGTGGTAGGCCATGTAATGACAGAGCGGGGTCAGCACATACTGAAGCGCACAGTGCACCGAAGTTGCCAACTGTCTGCAGCGTCAATGGCCTTCAGATTAGCACAACAACAGTGCATAGCGAGCTTCATGGAATGGGTGTCACCAAATGCAATGCAAAGCGTTGGATGCAGTGGTGTAAAGCACGCCACCACTGGACTCTAGAGCAGTGGAGATGTGTTCTCTGTTTGGCAATCTGATGGACGTGTCCGGGTTTGGCGGTTGCCATGAGAAAGGTACTTGCCTGACTGCTTTGTGCCAAGTGTAAAGTTTGGTGGAGGGGGAATTATGGTGTGAGGTTGTTTTTCAGGGATTGGGCTTGACCCATAAGTTCCAGTGAAGGGAAACTCTGTCTATGTCTGTCTAGCTTTGATGTTGGCCACGCTCAATCATCTCCTGCTGTGAATACAACCTTCTTGTAGTTATTAGTTGTGAATGATTGAAGTATGAAAATATCACTAGCTACTATGCACCTTTTAACATTACAGTGTAAAAGTGTCCAAATTATTTGTTAGGGTGTCTTAGCCTGTTTGAATCAAGCTTTGGATTATCAACCCCTTCTGCCATCAGACTGCATCTGCATTGTCACACCATGATGTCCCAACCTGGTTTCTGAGACCAATATGTTTTTTAAATCCAAGACTATAGTCCTGTAAAATATAATATCTCAACTCCCATACATTGCAGTTCAGTGTTTTAAATAACTCCTGCAAAAGCCTGGTTCAGCAGAGAGGTTCAAGTAGAATGCCAACACCTCAGACAAATCCTGTATTATAGGGGAGTTATTATAAGCTCCATAAGAATTGGTATTGATTTCATTAAGCTTAAATGTTTGTTCTCTAAGCAAATGACACCTGACATCACTAACCATAGTTTCGGATTTAAAACGTAACCAGTCATGTGTAGAACGCTTTGGCCAAGTTGAAATGTGCCTGAATATTGAGAATATAGCTGCTTTAATCTCAGACAGTATGTAGTTCAGATCTAAATCTGTGGGGACCAGTTACTGATTGGCAGTTTGTTTGAACTTTTGTCCAAACCCCTGGTGCAGGAAAAATTAAAACGTTTAAATGAAAGTTGTGTCCTGAGTAGTATGTAGTAAAATATGTTGCTGTTTTTCTAGTGCAGCTTTAAAATTAAGCAGTAGTTTAATTCAAGAAAGCCATTCTGTGCGTTTTTTCTTTCAGGCCTCCCTCCTACCCCAGTACAGCTGTTATATCCAGTGTCTCGATTCAGCAATGTGAAGTCCCTGCAGCATTTGTGCCGGTTTCGTATTCGGCAGATGGTTCGGATAGACCACATCCCAGAACTCCCTCTTCCCAAGTGAGTTTATATATATTATCTGGAGTCACAAATGATCCACAGACTATTTTACAGTTACGGCTATACTAGTACAAAAAAAAAAACTAAATCACTAAACATTGCTACAATATTAAACACATTGACATGCTGTTTTCTTTTACATCAAGTTTAGTAGATGGCTTTTTTTTAATCAATTTATTCTGGTTGCTGCACTATGAGCAATTCTCCCTTTCTCTTTTATATGCCATCCCTTCTGTGGCTGAGCAATGGATTACCTGTTTAGTCTGCTGAGAATGATAGCTCTCAATTGTGAGCTGAGTGGAGATCCACACCCCTATCCATTCATCCAGGCAGCAGGGTGTGGGAAAGGAGACTGATCCATCCATCAGGATGGCTTATTGTAGATGTGGAGGCTGACTTACATTCTTTTATCCATTGAGGCGAGTGCATGCTTACTTTCTTTCATCCATCTATCTAGTTTACTAGTGGTGTGACCGGAGGCTGCTGATCCTATCCATCCATCCATTAGTGGGATCTGTCACCCAAAAGTGCTGTTAGACCTCCTATGCTTTGGGGTCTAACCTTCTGGTAAGCCAAATTTGTCACGGTTTGGTGCACCGTGGTGAATTGGAAGATTTTAATTCATGACATTTGGAACACAAATTTTGTTTGGATGCACTTTTCAATGAAAGATTTTCAAATTTATTTGCACTGAATTTTTTTGCTATTTAAAAAAAAAAAAAAAGTTTTATGTCTTTTCAGCACATTTGTCTTGATATGACAGAACAACACATGGTTTTGTATGGCTGTACTAGTGCTAGTGTCAGGTTAAGATGGTAATGGTCAATTCAGTCTGCTTCAGTGTGAGATGTTGACTTATTAATTAATGTTGAAAGTTCACCACACCACCAAAGAATGAGTTCTAAAGCAGAATTAAACCCTCCTTTACAACATAAGAAGAAGCAAGCTTATTCTCTGTTTGATCTACAGTTGTCATGGTGCTGCACATGTGCTCAATTATGACAATAGCCATTTTATGGCTTGACAGTTTGGATGAAAGCCCAAGCAACTGTGACAGCTAGCATTCATGGCATGCCTTGAATTTCACTGTGAGATATATATATATATATATATATATATATATATATATATATATATATCTTTTTGTCATACTTTACAAACAAATCAGACTGGTGATTTTAGAAACTCGAGGAAACTGGCTGCTGTGTTTCTATTCAAGGGTTATCTGCTGTTTTATTATAAGCCCTAAAAAAACAGCATTTAAAACCTGGTTTTCAATTAATAGCAGCATCCCTTTGCTCTAGGTTTTGGCAATCCTATGTTGCATTTTTCCATGTTCATATGATAGCTGCACACACAGCCTTACTACTTGTTTGGTCACACTGTTCATTCTTTTTCTTACGAGTTTTTGCAGTCCGTATGCTTAATGTAATCATTTTATTCTAGCCTCCTCCCCTTTCCCTACTACTGTGGAGATTGGCATGTGTGTAAATACATTTCCTCTCCCTTTATAATTATCATTTCTAGCATCAACACTAATTTATTAGTCAGAGCCATGCAGAATCCTAGCTAAGTACTGTTTTTATTGCTTGGGGAGGTTTTCCTGTGTCTTCTGTCTCATAGCTTGCTCCCCCCTCACCACAGCACAGAATTCATGGTTTGTAACTAGCCTTGGCTGACACACACAATGTAGCTTGTAGGTTTGTTTTTTGTTTTTTTTAATTTGTTCAAAATAAAAAAGAGTCTGCCGTTGTTGGTCCTTCTTCTGAAAATGCTATTTCCTAATTGTGCAGTACAAGACACAGACTCCTTTTAAGTTTTGACCATGGGTTAAATGCTGCCGCATTCAAGTGAGGGCACTGGCAAACAAAATTGTTAGGACAGCCCATATGACCCCCTACCTTTCCTAGCAATATGCCATTTTTTGCTAGTGTCCTTGAGTGATAAACAACTTCTCTCAACTGAGAAAAGGTTCTAGCTTGTGTGACCCCAGCCTGAAGCTTGGTTTAAATTTACATTAGAAGACTGGCAGGCTGCCAAGTTTCTGTTCTCCAAAAGAAAGTATAGCTGTGATTTCAATGCTTCTGTTACATTTGAAGTTTAATTTCGCTAATGCTTGCAGTACAGAATTTTCAAGCGCTTTTACTGATTGTTCAGCAAATGTTAGTATTTTAATGTGTATAGTTTGTGCACAGGTTCATTTTATATGTTGATGTCTGTACATGCACCAATTAATAGTAAGCAAGAGGCAAACCTCTAACTGTAACTGGATGAAATACAGAGGTGGTATATTTTTATTTTTGGTTGGGCCAGACTTACCAATGTATGATATGCATGGTTGTTTGTTGTGTGATTTAAAGGTGTAAGTGTGCTTTTAGTGCTCTTACATTTACTCAGTTCTGATGCTCGTCCCCAACAGCCCTTAAAAGCCTTGCTTAGTCCATTTTGTTTTTTGTAATTTGGCCTCCTCGCTGCCACACAGGCTCTCTAAAAATCACACACTCTTTGTTTCAGTCCTCCCACACATGCATCTAATTCATTCCCCTCTTTTCAGTGGAGTGAAAACCTAAATGCATTCTAGTCTCCTCTGCCCTTAATTTGTCAGAATGTGAATCTTAGGATTTATTGCAATGGTATAAAACTGTTCCACTAATGAATCATTTTACTTTTACTTTTACAGACCTCTCATCTCATACCTGCGCAAGTTTTATTACTATGATCCACAGGAGGAAATTTATCTTTGTTTAAAGGAGGCACGACATGTTCCCAAAATGGAATCTGGTTCTGAGAATTCCACGTAGCAAAGCTCTTGAGTTTGTGTGTTGGATGCAGGTAATTGTATACTCTGCCAAATCCTATTGTACACTATATATAATTAGACTTTTCTTTTCCCTTCACTTTACTTAATTTTCTCTTGCAAAATATCTTATGGAGTTTTTATTTCATATATTGTCTAAAATTACTTCTAAAAAGGACATTGGGAAGAATGTTCTCTCTGATGTTCACTTGACAACCTTTTTTTGTGTTTTTTTTTTTTTTTTTTTTTTTTTTTTTTTTTTGCATGCCGAGTTGTCCATTGATTCCTTGTTGAAGTCAGTGAAACGGATATGGGTTTGCTATGCTTACATAAGAGTTGTAAAACTGAAAATATCCAAAAGTAGGCACCTACTATGCCTGTGCAAAGGTTTAGATTCTGTCCTGAGTGAAACCTGCATCTCCAAAGTCCAGATCTGATCCACTTACTAGGGACAGATAATGAAGTACTATGTACTTCACTATTTATCCCTATAAGGGATGTGTGGCTTGATGAGCAATGGTGATATTCAGGGGGAAGCAAACCTGAAGGAGGTGACTTCAGGTTCAAGCTCCAGGTTTGCATTACTGAAATACCACACATGCTCAGGAAGAGATCAGAAAGCTCATGTAGGCTCTTGATACCGGTTTCTAAATCCTGCTACCAGATTTGGAAAATTTTATATAAATGCAGGTACATTTTAATAAGGTAGTACAAAAATCCATGGCTCATAGCAGCTAATGAGATGACAATCAAACTCTAGTGAAGAGGGAAAAAGCTAAAACCTGGCTGCTGTAGGTTTCTCCCCTTCTCCACTTTTCACATAGTTATTGTATTTTAATTATTCTGCAAATATGGTTGCCATATGACTACTGTTGTCTGTCTGTGCATCACCCACACAAACCGCTTTTACAAGGGTGCACACTGGTACTCAGGCTGGCTTAAAAGGTCTCTTCTCTTATAACAAATTATAATTTGAGGTTGTTGCTGAAGTTTGTAATTGAAAGTGCTGATAAACACAGAGATGACAGTGCTCCTTAATTATCCCCTTGTTTTCTTCCCAGAAGCAGATGGCAAGTCCCATCCAAATGCAATCTTTTAAAAGTTCTGTTACTGCTCATACACAATGTACCTGTCAGTCACAGGCCAGATCTGCTGGCTAAAGGACTGCTTTCCATTAGCCAGGCTTGATGTTTGATATGACCAGACACAGTTCATACTGATTCTGCAGTTTCAGAGATGGAAGAGCACTGTTAGTGTTGATAGAATTAAAGCGCAGAATTTCACCTTAAAGTAGTTCTGCTCGTTCTCCTACTCCCCCTCCTCTCAACTTTTGGCTTTTTTTTTCTGGAGCGGGTAACTATTTTTAGCAGCTACCCACCACTCCTTCTGCTTGGATCTCCTAGGTCAGTGGTGGGCAACCTTTTTTTTCAACTGAGCCAAATCTCGCCGAAACCACGATTGAAATTTATTTTGAGAGCCACATTTTTAAAACTGAAAATACATAGGATGGTACACTGTTTTTAGTTTCAATAAGTTTTTATAGTAATTCATCCCCCATAGTAATTCATCCCCCATAGTAATTCATCCCCCATAGTAATTCCTCCCCCATAGTAATTCCTCCCCCCCATAGTAATTCTCCCCCATATAGTAATTCATCCCCCATATAGTAATTCATCCCCCATATAGTAATTCATCCCCCTATAGTAATTCATCCCCCATATAGTAATTCATCCCCCATAGTAATTCCTCCCCCATATAGTAATTCCTCCCCCATATAGTAATTCATCCCCCATATAGTAATTCATCCCCCATAGTAATTCATGCCCCATAGTAATTCATACCCCATAGTAATTCATCCCCCATAGTAATTCATCCCCCATATAGTAATTCATCCCCCATATAGTAATTCATCCCCCATATAGTAATTCATCCCCCATATAGTAATTCATCCCCCATATAGTAATTCATCCCCCATATAGTAATTCATCCCCCCTATGGTAATTCATCCCCCCTATGGTAATTCATCCCCCCTATAGTAATTCATCCCCCCTATGGTAATTCATCCCCCCTATAGTAATTCATCCCCCCTATGGTAATTCATCCCCCCTATAGTAATTCATCCCCCCTATAGTAATTCATCCCCCCTATAGTAATTCATCCCCCATATAGTAATTCATCCCCCATAGTAATTCATCCCCCATATAGTAATTCATCCCCCATATAGTAATTCATCCCCCATATAGTAATTCATCCCCCATATTAATTCATCCCCCATATAGTAATTCATCCCCCATAGTAATTCATCCCCCCTATAGTAATTCATCCCCCATATAGTAATTCATCCCCCATAGTAATTCATCCCCCCTATAGTAATTCATCCCCCCATAGTAATTCATCCCCCATATAGTAATTCATCCCCCATATAGTAATTCCTCCCCCATATAGTAATTCCTCCCCCCCCATATAGTAATTTCCTCCCCCATATAGTAATTCCTCCCCCATATAGTAATTCCTCCCCCATATAGTAATTCCTCCCCCATATAGTAATTCCTCCCCCATATAGTAATTCCTCCCCCATATAGTAATTCCTCCCCCATATAGTAATTCCTCCCCCATATAGTAATTCCTCCCCCATATAGTAATTCCTCCCCCATATAGTAATTCCTCCCCCATATAGTAATTCCTCCCCCATATAGTAATTCACCCCCCATATAGTAATTCATCCCCCATATTAATTCATCCCCCATATAGTAATTCATCCCCCCTATAGTAGTAGTAAGTAAGTAGCAAGTAGTAAGCCAAGTCCCCCCTGTGTCAATTCACTTACGTTTGCTCCGCGCGTTCCTCTCGCCGTGTTCCCCGTGCCGTTCCGGTCTTCAGGGCGGACTGTGAGAGGAGCCTAGCTCCCCTCACGTTCGTCACGCTGCCCCGCCTACACACATCCTGACAGCCAATCACTAGCTATCAGGATGTGAGTGGCAGCGAGACTGGCCAATCATTGCTGGGCTAGCTGCAGAGTCCTCGGCCGCCCGAGAGGAGGGAGGGGAGCGGGCGCCCGGCACACAGAAGAGCCGCATTAAAATGTGTACAGAGCCGCATGTGGCTCGCGAGCCGCGGATTGCCGACCACTGTCCTAGGTGATCCCAGCAGAAGTTCTCCCCCTCTCTCTGCTAGCAACATCATGGGACATGTCCTAGGCGGCTGTGGAACCATTCACAGAGCTTAGCGCACTGTGGGGAGCCAGCTATGAAGCCGCAGGGAGTCACAGCTGGCTTCCCACAGTAAACATAGTGGCACCGCGGACACAAAGACCAGCAAACAGCTGTCCCGGGTCAGGACAGTGCTTGGACCCTGGACTGGTAAAGATCTCTTTATTAAAAGTCAACAACTACAGTATTTGTAGCTGATGACTTTTATTTATTTTAATTGACTGAAGATCCTCTTTAAAGAGGATATTCACAATTGTACAAGTCAATACATAATACACAATATAGGCGAATACTGTAGCTGCTGACTTTTAAATAACAGGCAGTTACCTGTCCCAGGATCCAGCGATGTCCTCACCTGACCCAGCTGGTCTTCGGGTCCATGCACTGGCATCTTAACTGTAGGGAGTCGAATGTGATTGATTGCAGCTTCACAGCTGGCTGCCCACTGCACATGCACAAACCAGGCTGTGCCCTGTAAATGGTCCCGCAGTCTCCAAGAGGCTGCAGGGAGAGGTGAATTTCTGCTCCCCTTGCCTAGGGCAGTCAGATCAGAAGTGGGAGCGGGTACCTGTCAAAATCGGATATCTGTTCCCCCTTCCTAAAAAAAAAAAAAAAAAAAAAAAAAGACATCTCAAATATGAGAGAGGAGGAAAACTGGAATGTCCCCTTTTGGGTTAAGTTCTGCTTTTACAGCAGACTTCTTGTGTTTTCCAAGCCTCCTGATTTCCTCTTCCTGCTGCAAGTATCCAGACAGCCAAGCCTCACTGCCCGTTCCAGTCTGCACTGACTTGCCTCTTCAGTAGCTGCAGCAACTTGCCGGTCCTTCTGCCCTCACTCCAAGGCAACCCCTCTAAAGTAGGGGTGTCCAACCCGTGGCCCGGGAGAGTTCAACATGCAGCCTGGGGCATGTCTGGAAGAACCCCATGCAAGAAAAGCCACAGCAGCTAGCACATATGAAAGGTTGCAGGGGATGCCGTGAATCCCTATTTGCATAGAAGCCACAGCTGCACAGAGAATGCAGGAATGAGCACAGCTAATGGGATGCTGGGGATGCAATCTTTGTAAAAGCACCTGCAACAGCTAAAGCAGGATTCTACATAGCGCCAGGCAAGTAACTGCCACTTGGCTGTATGGATTGGGGGAAGGGTGGTGTTGAAGAACCTTCTCACACAGTTGCTAACTGTGATTAAATTCAAGGACAGTGTGTAAAATCCTGGATTATTACATCTGTCCATGAATGTATGATATGGACATGCACTCTGCATGTCCATATCAGATATTAACAGACAGATCACAAATTTTACAAACTCCATGAATTTATATTCACTACGGTTGGTGGTTGCGGGTGTGGTAACAGCTATGATTCCCGCAACTGCACCCAGGGCAAAGTGTCCAAGCAAATATGGCCCAAGACAATTCCTCTTTTTCCAATGTGACCCAGGAAGGTCAAAAGTTTGAACACCCCTGCTCTAAAGCGAACTACAAAGAAGCTTCTCCTTGTGCAGTAAAAACAACAATGAACTTTATTAACAGTAAAAATGATACTCGCAAACACAGTATAAAAGTGCATTTAGAAGGGGCCAGTAAACCACTGATACCATCTCATCTCATCTCCAAAACCAAGTTACAAAGGTTTCACTTTCCTGTGCTATTGTTTGATTTATTTGTTTTTTTTTATATTAATCAGGTTAGACCAATATGCAAAATGTATCATATAGGTAATCTGTTAATAATTGTAGCATTACAGGCACACAACATTTCTTTTGATATGATTTTGGTAAAGTTTATTCAGTGT